AAATTCTTAAATACAAATCAAGTACAAGAAAGTATCTTTTAAAAGTGTGCTATGGAATTGTAGTGTAACTCTTTTGGTTAAAAAATGTTCCCATCCCTGGTTTTCAGGAATACTGGATATTTACTTATTTCCAATACCTCTGTATGACAACTATGTGCCTATGACTTATATGTAACTTCATCCTTACAATAAACACACACGGTTACCACCCCATTTTATAGGCAAGAAAAGAAGATTCTGAAAGATCGCAGTGGGGGAGAGCTGGTATTCAAATCCAAATTTGACTCCACAGCAAAATGAGTGCCTAATCCAAACACAGAGCTTACTAAATGCCAAAATCTGAGTTTCCTTTTCATGACACAATAAATAAAACTAAGTCAGCATCTGTGTATGGTCATTAATAGTAATTCACTACAATTTCAAAATCACATAGGTTTGCTTTAAAAGTATATTTTGTACCCCCTGCTATGAATTGTTGCGATTAAATTACATCATATATAACCATTAAAGAGAATACAGCACAAAAAGCGATAAAAATTGTTAAGTAAGTGGTATGGGGTAGTTGGCATATATACTTGGTTATTACTTTGAAAATACTGTGCCTTTGGGGAAAATCCTTTCCAAATTCTATAAGGAAATACAGAAACTATAAAGAAAAAGGCTTTAAAGAACCAATACACATGCCACCATTATGTTAAGTGAAATAAGCCAGTCACAGAAAGACACTGTGTGATTCCACTTACTTGAGGTATCTGAAGTAGTCAAACTCACAGAAACTAAAATGGCGGTTGCCGGGGGTGGAAGAAAAGGGAGAAATGGGGGAGCTGTTGTTTGATAAAGTTTCAATTTTGTAAGATGAAAAGTTGTGGAGATTGGCTGCACAACAACGTGAATACACTTAACACTTACGAACTGTACACCTAAAAATGGTTAAGATTGTAAATTTTGTTATATTTTACCACAATTAAAATAATAAAAATTTAAAATGGAACCAATGAATTATTTTTTTAATGTGATGATACTGGGCTCTATTACGCTTTAAAAACAAAACAGAGATACATACGAATAGGTTTATATTTGCAGGTTGATGGGTATTAATGAATGTTCATTCTATTATTGTGTATGTTCAAAATTTTCCTCAATGAAATAGAACAAAATAACTCTTCAAAAAAGGGGAGAACCAATAAGGAAACAAAATTTCCTAATCAAGAGATTAATCTATCATGAAAATACTTTATTGTAGTTTAAACATGTAAAATGTAGTAACATTTTAACTACAACAGATAACGTGACATCACTTATTTCACTTGGGAGAAAGCTGCCAAAAACTAGATAGGTTTACTGGGCTTGCATTAGAAAAACTGCATGGAGAAAATTACATGAACAGTCTAAAGTTTGCTATGAAAACAACATTTTTATTAAAGAAATTAAGTCAAAAAACAACAACAAAAGGGAAATTCCACAACCTTTGTTTGTAACTATATAGTCTTTATGTAGAAAAACTATAAAGTGACATTCTGGAAAGCAGCTCCACAATAAACTTAATCCTTACACAAAGAGTAACTAAATTATAGAATTAGTTCACCCACAGGAAATTGTCTTGCTATAGAATATTTCAGCTGAGCTGATTTCAACTATATTATTCCCATTTCTGAAAAATTGTTTCCTGATATTTCAAATCACCAGAGATAAAATGTACAAGAGCCTGTTGAAGTAAAAAGATAAATCACAAATACTGCAAGCACAATTCCATGTGAGAGTGAGTGAGGACATTTTATCTACAGGTCTACAAAACTGTATAAATAACCGTTATACACACAGTCCATTTACATCGAAGCTCCATGAGGTGGTGGTACTGAATAAACACGAGGCACTAAATTGCCAACGGAACACGGCTCACTCTGCACAGCAGCACGTCCCCACCTCCTTAGCTCTCCTATGACACAGCATTTCCCCTCGGATTTGTATTTGTGCATTATCTAAGTCCTGGGAAATTGATTAACAACAACAAAGAAAAAAGCCAAAAGCATAATGAATTAAACACCCCTAAACACTATTCTGAAACATGCATGTGCAATATGAAGAAACCAAGCTCTCTGAGTTTTTAGTCACTAGTGCTTTTGTTAGTATCCGCACTGAATTTTTTGTAACTAGCTCTTCCATTAAAATATAACAGAAGAGAAAAACATTAAGGGAGAAAACCTCTTATTTCTTCAATATGCAAGTCTTAGAAAAGCGGTATCTTTTTTTTTTTTTAACAACTTTCTCTGCTTAAGAAATCACATTGTGGTCACCTGAATAGGATAATGAAGTCACTTTGGCAATACAGGTTAATTTGCTCTCATTTATAATAATCAAAATGATACCATGGCCATATAATTTTTCAGAACTTACACCACCGTGGAGGTAAATGTGTACAGAATATTTCTAATAAACCTAAATTAGATGATTGGAATTTCTTAAAAATATTTTTAAGTGCTTAAGAATATTAAAGTTCGGGGGGAAAATACAGAAGTCATAAGCAAGTATTTCCTCTTTCTTAAGGTTCTTTATAATTAGGATAAAAGTCTCAGGGTAAGCCCACAGGAATTGTCTGCAATAAAGAAAAATTAGGTCAGTGTATAATAATATCTGCAACTTTAGTAGAAAGGCCAAGAACATTCTGAGCTAAATACGAGCATTCTTTTGGGTCAGGGCTCTTCGTTTAATTCTTGCACCTCTAACTTCTCTACATATTATAGTTCAGAATGGCCTCTACTGTTTACTAACAGTCAAAAAAAAAATTCACAAACATGATTCTTTCAATCACAGGTCTCACTCTTTGGTAAGAAACAGACCACCATTTACTTACTTACTTTCTCCCACCTACAGAAGAGAGGGAGATTAAATGGTATTAACATGGTAAGGAATCCTGTTTATCGGGTTTACGCCATACGCTTTAAGAAGAGCAGACAACAGGACCTCCTCTTATAGACAGCTACGGGAGAAGACAGTTAGCTGTCTTATCACAGGGCTGGAACAGGACAGTTCCTGTAACTAGAATGCCCTTCCTGGGAACATTTTAGTCAACCTGTAGAAATTTTGCTATACAATTAAAAGAGTCCTTTAGGATAGGAAACAAGATGAATAATGTGCTATGTATAAAAATATAGTAAAATATCTACCCCCTTACTATTCACCAATTTCTAATCTCGTTAAACTTTCATAGAATCCATGGAGAATTAAACAGGCTTACTCTAGATATTTTCTCATTAAGTAAAATTTGAAACCTATCAAACACTACATTTGCAATTCCAAAAAAAAAAAAAATCCAATGCAATCTAAATACACACATTAACAAACTTCCCAGAATAGATATTCTGTCAAGCCTAAGATCCTCACCCATCCACACAATAAGGAAACCAATCTTAGCCACAATAAGATAAATGATGCTCGCTCTTTACTGGTTCCACATTAAAAGAACTTCTAAATTCCACTGCAGTAGAAAAAAATACAAACAAGCACCAAAAACTGACATAATTTCTTCTCTAGGATATTTTTTTAAAAGAGAGAGAAATAAACATTCCTTGCGACTTGACTGGCAAAATCATTAGCTGACTAATTATTTCTAAGTCTATACTAGATACTAATGAATGATGGAATGCCCAAATCACCAGCAGCTCATTATTATTTTTGCAAAGAAAGGTAATTATATAAAATTCCATTCTCCCAGGCAATGAATGGGGGAGAAAAACATGTAACTTTACAAATGGCTATATTTGTAGGTTTGTGAAAACCAGCACCAAATGTTCATGTTTCATTATTCTGAGCAACATTTAGAAATTAACATTTCCTAATATGGACAAACAAGCGTGAACAATAAAGAATAACTTTCAAGCAATACTGCATATTGGTAAGAACCACAAAGTAAAAGAATCTGATTGGCTCATTCCTAAAGCTGCTGTAGGTTTGCCCCATTTGGAAATAGCAGGCCTCACTGCTCAGCTAATACACCAATTCCCCAAATCACGGGTACAGCGTACTTTATATTTAACTAGGCAAGATTAAGTAAAACAACTTAAAATGACATTTTAAAAAAGCAACCTAACTGAAAACAACTCTCTCTATGGAGGGGGAAAGCCCCGTCAGACCACAGTGCAGTGCCTAAATGAAACCTGAAAGCAGGAGTCACAAATAGTAGTGTCAGCTCAAGTCTACATAACCCTTTATTACGTCATGTTTATAGCAACATTATGATCAACATTATTCAAGGCTTCCTACTTCCTCCTCAGACTGCAGCAAGTTTTATTCCCACTGCATCACTGATTTCAACTCTGCTAACCGTTTACATCAACTTTCTCCACCTTGAAGTTATAAACCATTGGATGTTAAGTTTCCTGAAAACTATTTTATTCTTAAAGTTTAAACTTAAAGCTAAAATGAAATTCCTTAAAAAAATAAAACAATACAAAACAAAAAACTAAGGTGCTTTAAACAGAACCTTGTAGAAATATACTAATACCAGTGTTTAAAAGATAGCCCACAGTGGGCTATAGAAGGACAATTCTCAAACAAAACATTGTTAGAAAACTTCTTTTATAAATAAACTTTTCATGATACAAGATGAAATCAAAGATGCATATTTAAGTTGTCCCTAATAATAAGTAGTTGATCAGGACATAGGTTGAGTATCGAAATCACATTGATTCTTTGAAAAAAGAAACACCATTTTAGCCAGGCATTCCATTCACAGAAGACCATGGCCACATCCACCTAGTCTTTGGTCTCCGGGTGCCAGGATGACCCATGAGAACCTTCTCTAAGAAATTGGTTGGCAAACCTACCAAACGGGAGTCTTGGGTCCCTTAATTTTGACAGTCATCTCAGTAAATATAAAACTTCAGCGATGTCAACAGTGGAGCTCGTAAAGCGCATTAGGTATAGAAACACAACAGAAGTGCTAAACTCACTTAGTAGTACTTTAAAAGACTTGATGTCACCAACAGGGCAAAAAAACCACATTACAGTTTTCTGTTCAGATTTTATTTGAAATCTAATTCAAATTGTCAAAGCTACAAAAGGGGGGAAGACATCTGTATCATTTTTGCTAAGTCACAACATCCTAAAACAAAATACTACTACTGCCAGCAGATCCATTATACACATTGCTGATGAAATTCATTAGCACAATAAAAATTTCATCTTGAGAAACAGCCACAACGAAAGTAATTTATACAATAAAAAACAATGACAGGTCTACAGATGCAGATACTCATGAGTTTACACATGCATTCACAAACAAATAAACAAAAACCCCAGGAATGCTCTTTCATTTGATTTTTTGTTTTTTAGTTTTTTAAAAAAACAGACCGTTCAGGCACAAAACAAAATCGCATTTCCAATAAGTGACAGCATCTTAAAAATGTATGTCAGTGTTTGTTTTTCTTTGACTTTTTATGAGACCTGTGTGGAGACCGGGACTGGGATCTGGATTTCTTCCCTGATTTTTTAGGAGATCTAGACCGTGAGCGCCTAGATCTTTTAGGTGTCCTTGAACCAGATGGTGATCTGAGGAAACAAACAAAAACAATGTATCAAAGTACTCATGTGACTCAACCTATTTAAATGATCTAAAATGAGCTTTAAGGGAATACAACGAAAATCACTGAACTGAAAAAAAGGCTGTAAACTTCCCAAATTTATACTTTGCCTACACACACACACACAACTGATTCTGTATTTCCTACGCATTAGTGATCACCGGTGGTGCACTTGCTTAAAAAGAGATTCCTGAGCCTTACCACACTGCTCTACTGAATCAAAATCTCGAGGTAGGGACTGGGAATTTGCATTTTTAACAAGTTCCTCAAGTTACTGATATCCCCCAAAGTCTGAACCTCTAAATAGAAAGTTCAAAATAGCATCTAATACCATTAATAAAAATTTAAAAGCACGGCAGCTTTTCAGCCTGTCTCCTTGAAGGAAAAAGCACCAACTACAGCAATATCATCCTTGGGAACCGGTTAAGACAGTATAATTTTGTTAAGTGCTATTCATGAAGATTACCAAAACAAATAAATAATTTATATATACATGCAAGTGCCATTTAGAAAAGGAGAAAGGTACCGATTTTATAAATATTTTACTAAAAATGGATACAATAATAAAGTTTTAGGACATAAAGCAGTGTTAGCGCTCAGGAAAATTCCTCTATAAAAATAAAACATTTCTGAACCACTTTTCTGGAAAAAAGTACGTAACACACTAAATAACACACTGAAGAAATGGTTATTTATTTCTACAAGTTTCTACCTAAGAACTTGTTATTACGATTCCCGGAGGGTAGGGGGATGTATTTTTCTTTCAGCCTTGACAAAAATCAACGAATATTCTACAGAAACTAAAGAACAGAATGAAAAGTAAAGCAGCTACTCCATAGGAAACACTGGGTATGAGGTTTCTAATTCTTGGCTGGTCTTTACTTTTGGAAGCCTTCTTGGGCTTTAGTCATGAGGAGGCTGGTATGGAAATGTGAAAAGGCATAATCTAAGATGAAAGTATGTCTCTTTGGTTTTCAAAAATCCTTTAAAAAATGGCTACCAACAAAATTATTTTCAAAAGCTGGTGGAATGACAAGGAAATTGGTGTTTGAAATATTGCAAAACATGACTTGCATTTACCTTTTGGCCTTTTTGCTAACATCTCTAGGAGAGTCTTTGTGAGATGACCTGGACCGTGAGCTCTCTTTATGAGATCTTTCTGAACGCTCTGACCGCTCCGATTTTGGTGATGGGGATTTCACTCGTCTACCACTGCTACTGCGAGATGGGCTAGGGGATGTACTGTGTCGCCTTTTCCTATGGAACAAAGCCCCCAAAACATGCCATAAGTGAGCAAAGGATCAGGTATTCATTTTCCTTCTACTAAATTAGCTATTAATTCCTATCAGTTTACACTGATTTTATTTTCACTAACCTTATGGACGTTATTTTCCAACAACATTCAAAAAGCCCTTTATACCAAGAACGATTAAGTCTTAAAGACAGGTTGATAAACACAAAAACTGAATTCAACTAAATTGGATTTTCTTTTGCTATAAGAGAGATTACTGGGACAATGAACAAAATTTCATTAAGCTGTCTGATTAGAAAAGTTTTTTTAATGTTAATTTCCCAATCTTGAAACTTTTATTGTGGTTATATAAGAAAATGGGGCATCGTGTTAGCAAGCTATTCTTAAATGGTTGGGGGGAGAAGAAGAAAATAAGGCAAAAGAAGGACTATTTTAACATTTGGGGAACATGGGTGACGGATATCTGAAAACTCTTTACACTATTCTTATAACTTCTATAAAGCTGAAATTACAGCAAAATAATAAAAAAGCAGAAAAAGTGATAGATTTGTTATTTAACCATTTAGTATAACTATATTATTTGTAACTATCTGTAGAGCGACTACGCCAGAATATTTTTTATTTGCATTCACTTGGTTTTTCTTAGGAAAACCTCAGTTCTGTCAACTGAAGCAATTGTGTCTACTAAATCAGAGATTTGGGGATTGAAAGTAGGAAATAAAAGCTAAGAGAAAAATGATGTTTATTAGAGAGAAGACAAAGTGAGGAGCGAGTCCTTACAGTCTATGTATACAATCTCCCTTCGAGAAAGGACTGGGAGACTCAAGTTTACAGACAGCAGGCTCAGAAGAAATGCTTCCACTGGAGTCAACAAGAAAGGACTAGCAAGCTGTTGTGTTATTTAAGCCTTCAGCTTGATACCTAATACGGTAACTGAATTCTTGCACTGAACTAAGGCTAAGGTACCGTAAGAACCATGTAAAGGGGTGATGTTCCAGTTCACTAGGCCAAGTGCCAACTCAATGTCCCATTTCTCAGCTAATTCTGCCTCCTTGGAGGCAGGAACCAAACACGTTTATCACGAAAAAATACTTGTCTAGTTTGCTGGAATTGGTGATGAAAATACTGTAAAACAGAACATCATTTTCAATCCTGAAACCAGCATATGTAGTAAATGAGAAATGTTATACCTTTCTTTCCTTGTTGGAGTACACTCGTCTTTTTCCTTCTTGTCTTTGGATCGAGATTCCAATTTTTCTTTATCCTTCTTATCTCTTTCTCGTTCTCTTTCTAATTCTTTCTCTTTCTCCTGTTTTGTTTTAAAAGAAAGAATATTAGTCATTAAAAATACCAATCTGGGTTAATCTCATTTATGTAGTACTTCCTCATCTAGTTAACTACTTTTTAAGTCACTACTGAAGGTGATACTTTTCCAGGAAAGTTAGTCATTTCTTCTGCTTTTCCTAACCAGTGATACCAAGCAACAGCAGCTTAACATTCATTGACTGCCTCCCACAGGCCGAGCAATTACTAAACAGCTTTCCACAGACCGTTTCAGGTAATCCTTCGAAATACCCATAGTACTAAATAGTACTGTTATCCTCATTCTAGAGATAACAAATGAGACTCAAAGGTCAGGAACCATGCCCATGGTAACACAGGATACTTAAGTCAGGATCTGAGCCCAGCTCTAGAGCCAAGGCTCACAACTACTTACCCCAGGGGCTGTCCCCCAACAAATTAAAAAAACAAACAAACTGGGAAAGCTAACAATACACTGACACCGCCATCTCAGACTATAATAAATTAGTCAGTAGTGCTTCTAATTGTGTGGCAAGTTCATTTAATCAAAAGAGCTATTACCAAAGCAATAGGCTGAAAAGGAGAACTAGCTATTTACAATAACTTAATAAGAAAATCTTATTAGTGAGAAACAAGTACCAACTGCATTGGCAATTTTAAATCCTAATTTATGAAAGTACATGGCTACATGACTATACAATTATATAAACCAGAAAAATAACTTCTTTGCTTATCCCCAAGCTCCAACAATTGCTACTTCTCACTTAAAATTATAACTTATGTTGATTATATAACTAAAAGAGTGGCTGGGGACAATGAAGCCACAAAGGCAGCTTAGCTCTTCGCTAACAGGAGTTTAATTCTCTATGATTTGTATGCATTGGGAAAGCTACGACAGCTGATAAAAAGCCTACACTATATGTTGGCAAGCATTTTCTGTAAGGAGCCAGCCAGAGAGTAAACAGTTTCTGCTCTGTGCATCACACAGTGTCTGTGAAGCGTATACTGCTGTGCCACTGCAGTTCCCAAGTCCCTGCAGACAGTAAGGGAAGGAGCATGACCAGGTTCCATAGGTTTATTTACAAAACAGAGGTGATGGCCAGGCTGCTGGCCCCTGGCATCTACCTCCAAGAAACACGCTCTTCTCTCCCACCGCCATCATGGAAGGCAAGGGAACGCAAATGACAATGCAAGCACAACTACCGCCGGCACCAGTGAGCATCCTAAGGCATAGTCTTCCATGAAGAGCAAACACCTGCCACCATCTCCAAAGGTATCCATGGGATACAAATAGATAGTATCTTTTTACAAATCTCATTTATCTTTTTCCAAAATACAACATACAGAGTAAAAATTTTAAAAGTGATGCTGAGGAGACTGACCTGCTCTGGTGATCTGTAGGATGTCTATTCCTGATAATTTTATAGGAGTCAAACTACAGTTAAAACATTTTAATTCAATTAATAAAGTGTAATAGTAGCAATGATCTAATCCACAGTCCTGCACAAGCGGGACTCATAGCCCAGTTTCACAGAGAAAAAGACACTCCAGCGAGCTGCTGTGCTGAATGCAGCACGGCCATCAGGAGTCAGGTCTGTGTGGTGACGAAGCCGCCTTGTCACACTGCTGCCCCGTCACCAGCTTGCCACCATCACAGCATCATAGTGATTATAATCTCCCTCTAGCTTCCCTACTTCTCTTTCTATATGATCTTTTATAATGATAACATACAGCAATCCCAATAAAATCCCTGGGTTCTTTCAATTATCATGTGGGTCTCGTTTTAAAATTCTCTGCATATACATGTTTTGTTATGTACAATATCAGGTCCCTCAAAAGCTTAGAATTCACTGACGAGATATTCTACCACTTGCTGTCCTTCCCTGAAAACAATGGAAAAAGAGTCCTAAATGAATTTCCCAACCCTAACTCCACCTTTTTGTCTCTGTGCCACTTCTCATGGCTGCTAGTGTCTCATGTCACAAATACTCTTTCTATAGGGTCTTCCAGATTGAAAGCATACTCTTGGCAGGATTTTCTAGTCCACAGGTAGTATTCAAAATAAAACAGAAAGCTGTGGTCCTAACCCTTTTGCAAGTTGAAATAATGGTAAAACATCAAATTTCAAATGTTCCTAATTGTCTACCAGTACCCAGCATTTACACATCTAAGGTTATGATTTGAAGTATACTTTTCCTTCATATCCCAATATTCTAGGCAGTCTAACAAGTATTATAACTTCGGAAAATGCACGTCACTGCGTATACTTATTCCTTACTCGTTGAAGAAGTTTATCTCTGTAGTGTTCTACTTGCTCCTGAAAGCTCTGGCCTGGTTTTTTAGGTCTTTTTCCAGATTCCAATTCATCCTGAAACTTCATAACTTTGAGCTGTGAAATAAGACATTTTTATAATAAATCTTTTCATACGACATTTTTATAATAAATCTTTTCATCACTATAGCTTAAGCACTGCTGTGTTCTTTTTAAAAATTCTTTTCTTTGGGACATGTGTAAAAAAGAAAAACATAAACAGCAAAGCCAGTAACTGATAAAGCCTCAATCAAAATACAACATCGTCACAGAACTCCCTTATCTGAAAGCCGCTTGTTGGTCAAGCCCAACTAAGCAGCACTCACGTTAGCAGGAGTGGCCCCATGTGTTTCTGCACAGCTGTAACATGACGCGAAAACCATGGGCTGTGGTTCATGCCCTTAATAACGTATTATTGCAACACAATGATAATGAATTCCGTATCTGGTTCCCCAGAGAACTACATTTGAAAATTAGAATTTGGTTCACAGACCAAATCCCAAAAGTGTAAGTTGTGAGAGAGGCACTACGAGAACTAGAGAAACAATTGCCAAGTATCTAGCAAAGAACGGGGGGGCCAGTTCATCAAAGAGTATGTGACACAGGGAGATATGTGTACACAGGTGTGTGCAACATGTATATCACACACATACAGAATGCAGAAATAATAATGTTCATAAAAACCATCCAAATTAACAAAAAGTTATAGTTTTCTTCTCTTTTAAGCCAACAAGCAAATAGAACATTTAAGAACCATCAGTCTGTTCTGGCATTTTAAGGGGGTAGCTTAAATTATCAAGAAAATGTATTTTTACTGAACTCAGTCTTTGTTTCTACTCCAATAGCTCCACCAGGTCAGTGAGGCAGAGTTTAAGTTGGAAGGAGTTCTGAGAGTTAAAAGGGGCATATGGGGCTTGGAAAAGGTCAATAGGTGAGTGTCTTCACTGATACACCTCACCTTATTCCCCTAAACATTTTATAAAGCATAATGTAACTGAATACATTCCAGGAAAAATAAATCAACTCATTAAGTCTGAAAATCCCTCCTCCCCACTTATAATTAACCCTCAGTCGGGCGCAACTGATCTCACAGATTCATTGCACACAAATTTTCAAATATCTAACAGTTAACTTGAATATCGTGACTCATCGCTTCCGTATCTTCCCCCTCTACTGTAACCTATCGCCAGTAGTGTTTGTGACTTAGTACTGTAAAGATGTTATTTCAGAGCAGCATCTTTGTGTGCAATGAATCTGTGAGATCAGTTGCGCCCAACGGGGGGTTAACACCATACTGATTCTGTCTAAGGTTAAAACAAAATGCTTTCTCTGTTAATTTTTCAGCGTGGTAATGTTTGAGAAACAAGTCGGCAAGAACTTGTACTAGCCCAACAGTGAGTTGATGGAGAAGTGGAAATAAGGTTAAATGTGGTAGACATTAACAGTTAATTAGAGGAATAGTGCTGACATACTGTAGGCATTCAAAAAAACTTAAATGAACAGAGGGTTAAAATTCACTCTCATGTACACTTTTGAGATTCGGGACTGACTGCTCCACTACTGCTAACATTTACTGGGAATGTTTCATCATCTTGGGGCAAGACCAGGAGAGTTCCATTATAAAACCCTTCCCTCTCTGACACGTCTTGAGTACCTTTGGTAATAAACAGAGGCACTGAGAAAGGAGAAGAAACAGAGGGAAAAGTCTGCTTGAGACAGTCGGCACTCTCCCCTAAGTTGTTCCCCTTATTGTTGAGCCCCACTTAATGTCTGCTCAGTCCCCATCCATCGCTACAGGTGCAGACACTTCAAATTAGCCTGCTGTCATAACATGTACATATAGCCTGATCATGTCAGAAAATACCACGTGTCTTTGTTATCTACCATGTACACTCAACATGTAATGGGTTGCATAATGCCAGATACAAGCCACTCATTAGAATCAGTGTCTTCAGAGGATCAATTCTGTGCTGGCAGTAGACATACAATGATAAACCGATAGACACGGTCCTTTCCCCACATGGAAATCACAGTCTAGTGGGGAATAGAGACATTAAACAAACAAGCAAGAAAATAAAACATAATACACATATGACAATACATGTAAAATCCCAACAGAGATAAATAGGGAGAAGTAAGCAAATCCAGAAGGTTAAGGCAATGACTCCGGGAGAGAAGGGATGCTTGCACCAAAAAGCCTGAAGGAAGTCAGCTGGTGTGCCAGTTTCCAGGCAGGGAGGGAGCAGGAGGCACCAACCCTGATGTCAAGAGGGAGCAGAGTTCAGTGGGGAAAGTGAAAGGCCAGTCAAGTGTAGTGTAAACTTCTTCGCAACACTCACCTCGATTTCACGAAGTTTAGCTCGTTTTTCCTCACTCATTTCTGAGTACTTAGAGAACTTGGACTCAGTCATTTCTTCTTTGATCGGATTAGAGTACAAATGATGTTCTTCGGATTTGGAACTTTGAGTATCTTCTTCATCTTCACTTTCTTCTTCTTGACTTTGGACACAAGCAAAATATGTTGTATGTCAAGGCAGTAAAAAAAAAAAAAAAAGGTACATTTTACAGTCTGGCTTAAACTGCCTTAAAGCTTAAATGTTAACAAAACGTAAGAGGATACTTCATCACTAAAACATTTTTCACAAAATATTTGATCAAGTAATATAGACAATTTTATAAAACTTATGTTTCCTCCATAGAAAAAGTTTGAGCTTCAACATAATCATACTTTTAAACATTTTACTTATGTTAATATTATGTGTGCCTTTCATTTTGCAACAAACTTTCTTTACAGCAGTTAAATAATCAATAATTTTTACATACTTCACGATTCAGTGACTTCGTGAAGCTAAATGTTTAAAAAGCCACATGTTTACCCTTCCTCCAGCAGAGCCTACAAACTAGAGAGTACATGAACTTGAGGCACGCACAGCTGCTATGAGACAATCAGTGAAGCATGTAAAGACCTTATTTGATGAGCACATAACCCTAGGAATAAAGCAATGTATAAATTTTAAATAGTGGCATATCCTACTAGTCATGCCATAGTTGATTCTGGAAGCTGACTGGTTCTAGGTCAAAGAAGAAAATGAAAAACGAACTGACTACCATTGGTAAGGATACAAAGAAGAAAATTTTTTCTGTCCTTCCAGAAGCAATCTAGTGGAAACAGACAGGCAGGCAATTATGTATAAAGCTGGTTATCACTGCTAGAGTAGGATTAACAAAATGTTTTTGAAGCACAAAGAATGAAAGGGCTTACAAAAAAAAGCTGTGTGTTCTCTGACTGCGCTTTTTGTGTGTATATATTGAATGTGGTGGGCCAAATAGTCGTCCTTGTACAAACAAACTCAGAATGTTTATGTATATAGACAAAATTCCTTATAAACAATATTGATTGTGACACTAATATTACTGGTATAGCCTAGAAAATATGCCATTTCCCTTTAATATTTGAGCCTGATAAGCCTTTATATGTCGGTATTTGGGATTACCTACAATCCACCATAAGTAGGAGTCCTTTTAGTATATATATAAAACTATTCATAATAATGTAAAAAGTTACAACTAACTTCTTCCCAAGTAAAATTTTAATTATTTTAGAATCTGATAATAAGACTCACACACTGAATGAGAAATATTTAAGCAATGCAGATAAAAATAAAGCACCGGCAATTCAGAATCAGAAAAGGCATGACACTAAGAGGAGACCATGCTACCAGCTTTTTAATTTCTCATTCAAAGGTTCTTTCCAGAACACTACTAAAATGTTTTATAAACTTTATACTCTCAGAGCCCACAAATCATTGTTACCACCTTGAGGTACAACTCAATACAACACTCAGGTAAGAAGAAAAAAGTCAAAATCAACCATTAAAAAAAACCTATATTCTTTTTGGAAATAAACCTTTCACTTAATATTTCTCATTAACTGTCAGAAACTTCCAAAATGCAGTTTTTAGTTAATTTTTTAAAACACAAGAATTTCTTATTTTATGGTAAAATTTTTACACATGTTTCAGATGCTTTTGAATGGTTAAAGGTTAAACTATGTGGGGTGTGTGTGTATACATATAAATGCAGATGTTTACTGAAGGACTATTCTAGAAAGGGTTAATCAATAAGAATGTGACACAGTTAATTAAATTGTGGTATCCATGTAATGGAAATTATTTAACCAATTCCGGCCTATTTTTTACATATATATATATTTTATATAAATATGTAAATTATTTATATATTTGTTGTTGTCGTTTTCAATATTCCTTGATAAACATCCTTGTACACTTATCTGAATGCTTGCTTTCAACCACAGATGCATACATAACAGATAAATGTTACGTATTTGACTGACATGAATACCATGACACTAGAGTGAAAAGTGTGGGTCACAGAATAGTATGTACGGTGCCATATAATTTATGTTTAAAATAGATATGCATGTTTTTATACACACAGGGAAAGGATCTAGATGGCTGGACACTAAAAACTATATTAAGACTTTTTAAATGAGCTATACTATACTTCCATAACTTACGCATTTTACAGTTGCTATTTTAATTTTTCAAGGCCCGAGCAATGTGTTCTAACTGGTTTTGACTTTAGCTCTTAGTTATGAATTCTAGGTTCAGATCTCATCACAGCTTCAGCTTGCTCTTCTTTTAAAGAAATGGAAATTCAAGACTCTAAACCCATATAGGACTTATTACAAATGAAGCTAAATTACTATTTGGAACTTTTTCCCAAAGCATTCGTAGTGTTATATATTTCTTAAATCACATCGGCTACAAAGACAATAATTACTAGTTTCAAAAAGCAGCTCCTTAATAAAAAGACATTTTGGATTTAGCCACTAGAGAGCAGTAGTGAGACACAGGAAAATTTCAAGGTTCAGAAAGTTTTATGTGAAAGTATTTTTTCCTTGCTTTGCACTTTCATAAAATTATTTTATGTTATCGTGATTTATTTGGAGTTGCTAGGAAAAATAAAAAATATAACATATTTTCAGTGATCCATGCTTTACTGTAGGAACATATGATTTATTCTACCATCAACACTAAAATGCATTCACATTGCAAACATTAACACACATATCAAATTTATGCAAAAAAAACCCTAATACCTAGAAACAAAACCAACTGAACAATATTGGAGTTCTGCAATGACTTTTCTACCTTTTCTTTCCCCTAAATTAAATAATTATTTTATGAGTACACATACTCATTTTAAAGCAGTGATTCTACAATGGTGAGCTGTGATTAGTGATGGGATGATAGATATAAAAAGGGTTAAGAAAACCACTGTTTTAAAGCAAACTGAACCATTCACATCCCTATACTCCTAGGCAGCCTCAGGCAGCTATTTCCATCAGCAAACCACATCTTTATTTTGTAAATATTCTGTCATAACCACTGCTGTCTTGTTCTCATCACACCATTTCTGAAAAGACTTTGCTGTTGCCAACTTTTCCTCATCGGATCAAACTGTTTCCACGCATGCTGATCAACCACATTTCCCTAACAATCTAACTGCTACTAACACCATTATTAAATCCATAAAAATGCCTAAACTGTGCTGAGACACAAAGATCCCTTTGCTCATCACTCTTCCACTTGAGAACAATAAAAAAACAAAGATTTAAAAAAACAAAAACAAAAAAAACCCAGGAACCTCTGCTTTGAGTTCTTGATGCCATCTCTTCTCCTATTTAAAAAAATTAACTTCCTTTGAAATGATTTGGAAAGGTATCATGTGCTCCTACAAACTGGCAGGAGAATTTGGGAGCAGGGATTCCTGTCACTGCATTCGGTGTTAAATGCAAAAACAATTTTGGAGTGATTCCCAAAGAGGCTCAAAATTATAATTTCTTTGTATGTTAAAGAAAAGTGTTTTTCCTTTTAATCTTAATTCTGAGGTTTTTACATTTAAAAAAACATAACAGAGGGCCGGCCGAGTGGCGCGTTGGTTAAGAGTTGGCTTGGGATGCCAGCTCTGAGCAGCAGGGCCCCGGTTTGGATCCCACCTGAGGGCCAGTGACACTGCCCTCTACAGCCAAGATGGTGAACAACAGCTCGACCTGGAGCTGGGCTGCCGTGAGTCGCCAGCGTAGGCTGTAGCCCCTGCTGCAGTGGGCTGCCATAAGCTACCATGTGTGGCCGGCAGCCAGTGTGAGCTGCCAAGAGCTGCCAGGAGCGGCCGTCCAGAGGCCAGTGACCGATCTGCCTCACCGGGGAAGAGAGCAATGATAATACCAACATGGGCCAGTGAAGCGACGTCCTCCACAACTAGACTGAGGAACAAAAAGGACAGCAACTTGTCTGTTCCCCTTCCCCTGATTCCCCAGCGCTGTTCCCCTCCCCTAATCCCCCAATAAAATCTTAAAAAACAAAAAACAACAACAACATAACAGAATGGTAATAATGCAATACATACTTTTTTAGCAGTGTACAATCCAAAAGAAAAAAGGCATAACCTTCCCATTCACATTTAATAATCACTTTTTGTGAAGCCAAAACAATATTTGATGACAAAGATTTGGAATAAATGCAGGTGACTATTTAGTAACTACAAAGTGAGAATGTACAACCTAGCATAGAAAAATAAACTCAAAAGCAAAGTGAAACCAGATGCAGCAAGCCCAGAAATCAAAAGCTCTTTATTCGCTGGAAAAACAACAGAGAACTAAAAATGATCCTCTTAAGCTTTTTTAACTGTGAAGTTTTCCTCTTCCCTATTATTTCAAGCATACCTCTTAATGAAAAAGGGAGCATATATGCAATAAGAAACTGAGTATATTCGAAACTTAGATTCTTACTTTTGATTTTCTTCTTCTTCTGATTCTTCATGCTGGTCAAATAATTCCCATTTAGAAGTTGTTACAGCTGAATGGAAGGAGAAAAAGGATGTAATTCCATAGGTAAATTAGCATTTTTGCAGTAGCATAGTAGAAGCCCAGCTTTAGAACTGAAATTTTATATTACAGAAGTTATCTACATTTATCTGTTCTTTGAATAGCCATTTTTTTGTGCTAAATCTATTTCTTTCTTCACACCTACACTATAATTTTATTCAAATTCATGAAGTGACAAATAATGTTATCCTTATTTCTGTACTGGATGGTAAAATTTATTTCATTAGAACCTATAAATATTAACAATTACAGATTATAAGCACTAGGATATTATGCCCAAGTAAGTATAAAAGGCAGGTCTAAACTCCATCTAATATGTTTAAGCATTATGGGAGTCAAACCTTGGTTTCTCTGAAACTGACCTCTCGGTAGATTCCCAACCAGGTACAGCTTCCTGTCTACATTTTCTACTGAAATGCCTTAACCTGAAAGGTTTTTAGTGATTTCTGATTATTCTCAAAGCATCCAAACTGAAAGATCTAAGAAAACTATATCAGCAGCCACAACAAAAACTTAGCAACTAGACATAAAATATGGTAACACTGGGTCTTAAGGTTGAAATGTTATAAAACATAAAAGGAAAACATACACACAAATACACATATAGCAATTATTAATTTTCAGTAGTCAAATTTTTAAAGCTCAGTATTTATTGTACTTTTTACTCACCTTGTGCTTCCAATTCAGATTCATCTACAGCTTCCCATTTTGATGGGGCAACTTTAAATATAGGCTCATTCTTCTTTGAGTCTTCAGTCGCATCTACTATTGAGGAAAAGATTAGCCACTTAATCTTGACTTTTAGGGGATAACCCAAATTAAAAAGTTCATGGGTATTCACTATATTATTAAAAAGTAAAATAAAATACGGCTACATATGAACAAATAATTCTAAAGTCAAGAACAAGGATTATAACTGATCTAATATTCTGCTTCTGAGGTCCAATTTTTAAATAGTGTATAAATCAACTCAGAACATATAAGTTATTATTTCAAGCAAATGGAGTTAAATAAAAATTTAATACCTTTACTGAATTATTGTTTAAACCACAGAATTCATATATTATTCAATATTTTAACATATAATTCAAATGTATTGTGTATAATTCCTATTTCCAAAAATAATTTTAGGCAGCTAGGAAAACTGAACCCATTAGTTAGGAAGACTAATAATAAAAACAGAAGTGATAAAACCAGGTACCTGGGATTATGAATACAATTAAGAACAAGATTTCGCCTGACAATAATGACAAAAAGAGAAACTTATTATAAAAGGCTGACTGTCCTAAGAAATGTGACCAAAAAACCCACCCTTCTCTTAGCACAGTCAAATGTGTTACTGGGTATATGAATTTTGAAAAGGCAAAAATAAAAAAACATAAAAAGGGTAATGAATGACACCTTAATCAGAAACTGTACCCTTTTTCCACATCAGCTTGTGTGGAAATTGGCTCTGGAATCAAACTTACTAGATCTAATCAGTCTGAAACCTGAACTTACAAGGCACTCCATCGAGATCGTCATCAAAACTCTTGATAGGGACCCCATCGAGGTCATCAATGGGAGCAGCGTCAATAGGAATTCCGTCCACATCTTCTAGAGGTGCCCCATCCAGCTCCTCCTCGATGGGGGCACCGTCGAGGTCATCTGGTACATCCTATAGAAACACACACACCACAGTAAATGCTTTCTTTTACTTGCTGAGGTCATATTGCTGAAGATTAAGCTGCAGTACAGTACCAACTACCCAGATGGATAGCCACATTCCCAGGTCTAGTGTGATGACATAAGGAGATATTTCATCATCCAGTTTGACAAAGCAGCAGTCATTCGTGTGTTACTTATCAAGTATTTACCAAGTGCTTACTGATGCCAGATACCACGGGAGACACTGAACACACAGTGATGAGCAAAAAGGAGCTTGGTCCCATGGTCCCTCCTGTCACAGAGCTTAGTAAAATGTTACTAGGGTGGGGGGTGTTGAGGGAGGAGCCAGGCACTCAGATAATCACAACAATTTACATATAACTGTAACTAGGATAACTGTTACAAGGAGGTGTATCATATCATTAGAGTATATAATAAGTAGGTATATATAATCAGTAGGTTTCACCTAAAGAGGTCAGAGAAGACTCTATGAAGTTATGCTTAAACTGAGGGCTGAAGGATCTCAGGTAAAAAGGAGACATTCCAAAAGCGGTAAAAAACATGTACAAAGGTCTATGTTATAAGGGAACACTATACATTTAAAAAACTGAAACAAGGACCTGTGGTTGGAGCAGGGAGGCCAATTAGGCAGACCCTGTAACAATGAAAGTGAAAATATGATAGCTGGGTTAGGATTACAGAAATGAAGATGAAGGATTTAAGGACTACTGAGGTAAGAGACAACAGAACAGTGAACAGAATCCACTCTCACTATGGCACATCTTTTCATGAACGTTATGTATTTAGGTAGCTATCTTCAGTTCAACAAAATGAAATCATGCTATCTATACTGCTCTATTACTTGCTTTTTTTCTAACATTATAAATCTTCTCATGTCATCAAATAAAGAAAAAAAATCACCAATTTTCACGTAAGGACACAAAACAGAGAATTCCTGTGATAATTTCAATTCCCTGGGTCCAGCAACAAAATTCCACTATTTAGTGGTAAAGAGTAAGCATTTTTCACAAAGAAATGTTACTCGTATCTGTAACATCACACCTCCACAGCATCCTCAGAAATACATTTTAAAATAATCAGACAAATACACCTACCTCTGTCTCCTTTTCTTCAATAATATTTACAAGTCCTAAGAAAATATTTTGTAGTTTGATCAAAAATGGTTCTGGATAAATTGCCCAATCTTCCCATGCTCTGAAGCAGGTCATTACCCGTTGCTAAATAGATAGCAGAAAAGACAACGAATTATAATTTAGGATAATATGTCTCAAACGTCACCTCATGAGAATGACCATTACTCAGTTTTTCTTTAAACCAACATTCTTTTTAAAATTTAAAGAAAACAGCTATCATGATCATGTTGTTTTTTTTCTTTTTAAATCAACATTATCTTTTAATTAAAAGAAAAGAAAGTCATACATAATGAAAAAAGGCAGTCACTGTTTGCTCTGACAACCTAAGACCAATGTCCACACCACTAGTGGTGCACACGAGGCCATATTCTGGGAAACACTAGCTTAGAAATTTATGAAAGCTGGATATCAAAGTAGCCAAGTACTGATCCAAAGTCCTTTATGGTCCAATGAAGTTAGACTTCCTAATTCTGACTAACACTTTTCTCTATCCCATCCCTAAACTTTTCTACCTAAATAAACTCTGACTCGTGGTCAAAATTTAAGGTAAAAAAAAAATTTTAAGTAGAGCTGTTTGAATCCCCTTAATTGCAGGGGTCACTGGGCATCTTCCCAAACTAAAATATTTCCTTAACAAAAATCTTCTTGGGGCGGCCAGGTGGCTCAGTTGGTTAGAGCGTCTGCTCTTAACAAGGTTGCAGTTCAATTCCCACATGGATCAGTGAGCTGCACCTTCCACAACTAGTTTGAAGACAATGATTTGAGCTGAGCTGCCACCGAGCTGCTGGTGGGCAGCCAGATGGCTCACTCAGTTGGTTAGAGCATGTGCTCTTAACAACAAGGTTGCCAGTTCGACTCCCGCATGGGATGGTGGGCTGTGCCCCCCGCAACTAGATTGAAAACATCAACTGGACTTGGAGCTGAGCTGCACCCTCCACAACTAGATTGAAGACAACTACTTGGAGCTGATGGGTCCTGGGAAAAGCACACTGTTCCCCAATAAAGTTTGAAAAAAAAACAAAAAACTTCTTCCCATGAAAGTATATCTGTTTATTCAATTATAAGGTATTTTGTTTGGCTTTTCTTAACATTGATTTAGAGCTTAAGAGGCTGTAAAAATTAGTAACTACATATGCTCTGCGAACATGAATAACTAAAATATATGCTCCTAATCCAGCCAAATTATAAGCCATGCACTGCTTAACAAGTGGGACTCATTATGAGAAATGAATGTCACAGAGCACACTTACAACACCTGGATGGTACACACCCAGGCTATATGGTATAGACTACTGCTTCTAGGCTACAAGCCTCTATAGCATGTTACTGTATAAAACATGAGACTGAATCAAACACAAGAGAAAATGATGCAATCAAGAGATTCATGAGGCCGTTACTGGGTAAACAGCGTACTATTTTACAGCAAACATTTTTAGTGGTAAGTAGAAAGAGTACACTCTAAAATAATGATAATAGTATAGTAAATATATAAACCAGTAACATAATCGTTTATCATTATCAAGTACTATGGGCTATACGTAATTGTACATGCTATACTTTCAGATGATTGGCAGCATAGGTTTACACAACATCACCACAAATCCTTGAGAATGTGTTTGTGCTACGATATCATGATGGCTATGATATCACTAGGCGATAGAATTTTTCAGCTCCATTATAATCTTACGGGACTACTGCCATATATGCAGGTCACTGTTCACCAAAACATCATTATGCAGTGCATTCCAAAACAAGTGATCTTCTGAATGTGTTTTGTGAAAAAAGGCTAATTTGAAAATATTTGAATAAAACACTTCAAACTAAAACAAACACCTGACAAAATAACACTAGACAACATATTGTAAAATTTCAGGCATTTTTTGATACTGAAGGTAAAACTCCAGTAAATTTTAGAATAATTTATGAAACATGCAAGTTATGTCTTATGCTTGTGTTATGTACTTTTTTAGCACTACAAAGTGCTTCGTGCCCCCATGCCCCATATATAACACTAAGGCAAAAATAACAAAACAATACACTTACCTTAAAGTTTTCAGACTGTAAATGGCCTTGAATTGTACGATATGTAGCATTGAGGTCTGAAAATATCTGACATAACTTTGTTTCAAAACTGAAATTCAAATAATATATTCTTTTACAATAGAATATGTTTAAAAATTACTATCCACTTCAGCATGCTAGCCAATGAAAACCACTCGGGGACTTAAAAACCTATAAATTAATCAAGTAATTATTTAAAAATCAAGAACTAGGTGTTTAAAACCTAAAACTGTAATTGAACTGCTTTAACTCCTATAATTCTGAATTTTTCCCCTGCAAACCCAAAAGAGTCTTTAGTAGTTCTCTTGATTAACCAGGAACCTTTGAGCCATCGAGTCTGATCACTTTGTTTTACAAAACAGGAAATGGAAAAGTTAAGTGACTTGTCCAAGGCAAAGAAAACTAACAGCAGACCAAGACTAGGACACACACCTCCAAATTTTCTTTCAGGGTCAGTTACTAGAGAAAAACTGCCTTACTTCATAAAATAAACACCAAAAAGGAACTCTGGGGAACTAAGGAAAAGCTATATTAATTACAGTAGAGCAACATAATTTCCTATTGCCTAGAAAAACATTAGCAATGGACTACAACCAATACAATGATGATTAGAAGAAAACAGATTCTACAGGTAATGCTCTGACTTCGGTCTCTTCCTTTATGTTTGCCATTATTTCTTTTGTTTTAGCTTATTTATTATACAAGTGACTAAATATGCAATAGTTATTTTTTTAACTCTTCCTTTTGTCCTATTATCAAGTTAGTCAAGAAACTTATATAAAAACTTTCAAAAAACTATGATAATTTAGCTTACAGTGGGGTTTAGTTCAATGAATGCAATGCAACTTTTTTTGGAAATTCTACAAATGAAGAAATTCAAATTATTTCTTATTATTGGATTTCATAAACAATCCTCTTTTCTGAACTCGCTACCCTTAAATATTTTATTTCATAAATATCAGTTTACATACTTACAATTTTCTATAATATGAAGCATTGGCAACTTTGGCTGAAGAGTTATACAAAACATCAGAAACCAAATATAATCTGGCAATCTGGAATACCAAAAGATAATATAAAATTGCTTAAAAAGTAAAAACCATCAGCAAACAATGTATCTAGAAAAAATTCCATGTTGAATTTGTTTGGAATCAGTGGCTTAAGACTAATTTTTAGCTGTAATTTAATAACACAACTAATCAGAATAGTTATAAGCAATTCAACATCACCACAACCATGACTTTGCAGAGATAAAATTTGTAACTGTTGATAACTTGTATGTCAATTAACATAATAAGACAGCATGGGAAAGATTTCTTCAGTCAAGTTCTTCATGCAAAAAGGAAACCAATTTCAATCCAAAAAGAAGTCAACTCTCCTTTCTCTTTTACCTCATTAAATGTTCCATAAAGAAAAACCATTCCCATACCTTTTTGGGAAGGGGTGTCTTTAAGATGGACAGTGACTCAGTAATGCAATCCACTATTTCTTCAGCAGCTTCAGCATTATTGAGACAGAAAACCATCGCATCTCCAATATCATTTTTCCTTGGAGTTAACCCTCGCAGAATTTCTTCTAATTTGTCTCTCTGTCTGAATACAAATATTGTAAACTTATAAATATAGACACAAATTTCAAATGCCATTACAGTGTCTCCTCACAAAGTCATTTCTTTAAAACCCACTCAGATAAAATAATTCTGAAGACTAAATTGTGTTAAGTCTGATTTGTAACAATTCCCCCAAATAAGTTACATATTTTAAGAACTTGTATGAGGAAGAGTAATTTTCCTGGCCTGGAACTAATAAATGACTCCAGTAATTTTTAGCATACAAATTAAGTAAATTTAAAATTATGGGCATTATTTTCAAGTGTCTTTGAGAGCATCCTAGTCCTAAGACCCGTTACATAGACAAAAAACCTTTGTGTTCTTTACTCTCCTTTGAAGGACATCTGCCTGTTATTTTAGCACTTCTCCATACCATTAGGACAGGCAAAAGCGGGGACTGACAAACTTTTTCTGTAAAGGTTCAGAGTAAATATTTTAGGCTTTGCAGGCCATGTGGTCTCTGTTGCAGCTACTTAATTGCTACGATAACACCAAAGCAGCCACAGACAGCATGTAAAGGAATGGGCATGATTGTGTTCCAATAAAACTTTATTGATGAAAACAGAAGGCAGCGAAATTTACCTAGCCTGTGGGCTGAGTTTGTGGATCCTAGGGCAAAAATGATGATGAATATACATCTTCAGAAGCAAACAGACTCTCAAATACTATAGTTCTCCATTACTAAATGCTCTCACAAATAATGCATCAATGCATCTTAATATGTCTATATTAAGATTTATAGACTATGCAGTGAAGTATATAAGCTTGCATGCTAAAATTCTTTTAGTCAATTTATTTCCATGAGGTATACAGAACTTCCTCTGAACAGTAAATAGTTAAATTTGTTTCTGATTCCTAAACCAGGCTGATTGCAGTGTACCAGTGTTGACTGAGCACCAGTAGTGGCATATGCTTCCAGGGTGGCCACACACTGCAAACTGCAGAGACAATTTGCCTAGTCAACCATATGACCTCAAAAGCCATAAAATCAACAACTTTTCCTCTTTATGTTGTATTCAGAGGCAGGAACTCTAAGGGACTGGAGAATTTCTGTAAGAATGTGAAGTATTCTACTGCTAAGAGAATCACTGCTTAGAATATCATCACTGTTTATCAGTAGGAAGAGGTCAAGGTCAATAGGACACATACTTATCCTTACTAAGATGTTTAAAATTACAAAGCATATGATGAGACATGTTACTATTTTCAACAAGTTAAAAAAATAAAAATTTATTTTAAGGTTAACATCTTAATAAGACCATTACTTAAAGCAACCATTAAAGCAACATTTCTGAATTATGTAACAGAAAGGGAAAAACCTTACTCTTCCTTAAGTGCTCCCTTTTTACTAGTCTCCTCTACAAAAGCCTCTGTTTCTTGCTCTTCTGACATCCCATGCAGGTATGGATTTAATGGGGGTGGCCTCCAAAAAGATCCATTTTTGAACATACGAAAATCTTCCGTCCGCCACTTAGTTGGAGAATCTCCCTAACAAACATCCAGAATGTTATTAAAAAGTTCTGGTACCTCATTCAAAATTAACCAAATAATTGATTCTACTTGCCTGCAGAATAGAATAAAGCTTCCACCTATAGTAAACATGGGCTGGTGTCTGGTTTTCAAATAAGAATCTAAAAAAAAACAAAAAAAAACCTATTAAACATTATGTTCCTTAATGAAGAATGGTATTCAAGTAAACATAAACAAATGAGAAATTTTATTTGCCCATTTAGTTTTAAATGACACCAAAAGCAAATATCCCCTGAAGAGAAATCTTGACCCGCTGTCATGTGCCATCTATTCCCTTCCTCGCCCCAGCCCCAGACTGACTCCGTGACTGACATTAATACTGAAAGGTATGTTTGCAATTTGCTGAGTCTTACAATCAATTTTACTGAATACTTACATGTCAGATACTGTGTCTGGCAATGAAGAGATTTTCCCAAGGTATCATTTCAAAAGCAGTGGTTTTTAAACTACTTAGTAAGAGTGTTAAATGAATATCTTAGGTACCATAGCTACTCAGAAGATAAGCAATTTCCTATAAACCTCATTTACTCTACTATATCTGACTTATAGAAGATTCACTGAAAAACATAATAAAAAGTATTTTCCTCCTAAAGAATGCTAAAAACAAGCTACTTAATTAACTAAATTAAAGTCACATGGAAAACTGATCTAAGCACACTCTAGTCCAATTACTAAAACTGTTTTCTCATCCCATTGCAAAAATAACCTGATATTTTTAGAGCTTTATTCTTGGAAATATTTTTAATTCCAAAAGTAAAGTGAGATAATAAATGCAATGTGGTACATATATCGAGTGGAACATGTTTCAGCCTTAAAACGTTAATGAGATTCTGACTCATGCAACGACAGGGATGAACCCTGAAGACATCAGACAAAGTGAAATAAGCCAGTCTCAAAAGTACAAATACTATATGATTACACTAATATGAGGGCCCAAGAGTAGTCAAATTCAGAGACAAAGTACAATGGTTGCTGCTGGGGCTGGGAGACCAAGGGAATGGGGAGTTGTGGTTTAAGTGGTACAAAGTTTCAGTTATGAAAGATGAGAAAGGTGCTGTGGATGGATGGTGGTGATGGTTGTACAACAATGTGAAAGTACTTAATGCCACTGAACTGTACACATAAGAATGGTAAATTTTACGTTATGTGTATATTTTAACGCAATAAAAAAAGCACACCTGAACATGGGATTGTTGATTTCTCTGTTCATAATCATAGCTTCAAACATTGGCCCTTCGCGTACAACAAACTCTATCATGCGATGTATCAGGGCGAGCAAATTCCTACAACAATAACACAGTTAAAGAAAATGGATTCAGACCCACCACTACATAAACTATACTTGACCTAAGTTACTATAATACATCGTGCAGAAAAAGTATTCTGCTGACTAATATAAAATTTTACACCAAACAAGTAACCTGGAGCATATGTTAATACCTTGTGCATTAAGAGGGAGTGGGGCAGTGAGGATAGGGGAATGGGGAAGGGAGGCAAAGTGAAGGGGGGTGGGTGGGGGGAACCACAACACAGCTTCATAGTAATAAAGATTTAATTTTCTAAATGCCACTTAATTTTATTTTCCAAATGCAAAACATTAAATTATGAAATCACAACTAATTGTAAAGCTGTAAATATATAATATTGGTAACTTGGAGCTTACATGTTACAGCCATCTAAAAGCTTACATACTATCTTAGGTTTAAAATATCCCTAAACCAAGCACTTTTGTGGTGGTACTGAAATGTTATATACATGACTGCAATTTATAAAAACGCAAAACTATTTAACAAATTTAAGGCCTGATTTAATAAAAAATCCACCCAACTTCTATGCTTTTCTGGTACACATATAGCATATAGCAGATGGAGTTTTTATTGAATCTGACCTTTAATGAGGCAACATCCCTTTGGACCACACTTCAAACTAGGTCACACAACTCATGACATGTATAATTCTGCCTGTGTATTATGAATCAATGAAGCAATTACATTGCCAAAGCCTTAAATGAATGGAGTCCTCTTTCCAAAATATCCCAAAATAAGGGACATGGTGAGTGAGATACCCTTCCCATTTTCCATAACAATGACCTTCCAATATTTAAGCCCCCCAAAAATATATGTTAACTTTTTAATAATCATTTTATTGGTTGGGCTCAGAGAAAAGTCTTTTTTTTTCATCTGAAGCTGGATCCTAAAATCATATACCTTCTTAGACTCCAAACAGAATTTTAGACATTGATTATGGTGTTAGGCAAAAATGACTCAGCTTATTACAAAACGCTTTTGTGTTCTCATTTCACCAGTTCCCCCAGCATATAGACTTGACAAATAACAATTGGGAAAAGCAGAAGGATATTGGCTCTTGGTACAAGGCACACATTAAATTACACCTTTAGCATTCCCAGCTCAAATTAAGTTCATAAAACTGCTAGAATATAAATAAATATATAGTTATAGAATAAGACAGATTATTTTGGCTCTGTAATGCCTGCTTCAGAGTACATGAACAGTAAAATAATTAATCTCATGGTGATTATAATTATTTTCTCAGTTTTCAAACAAACCTACTTAAGTGGAAACTAAAATTTCTACATAGTGAAAAAAATGAATTTTTTTGACCTCCTAAAGGGTCCTAAAAGAGGTCAAAAAAATTATATGAAAGTTTAAATTTTTACAAAGGGCAAATTATATATTTAAAACTATTAATTCAACTTCAAATTCTTAAAACAAAAAGCCAAAAGCATAAATTTTAAATCTAAAAATTATTTTTCTTTCACAGAAGTATTAATTGCTCTGCAAATTTGCAGTTCTTGATATCCAAATGAGAATGAATATATTCTCAGATCCATAGTTAATAATACTATTTGGAAGGAAGGGAGATAATATGAAGTTATGATTCAGTTCCAAAACTCCCACTGGTATGTGTCAAATTAAGGGAAGGGAAATTTTATGTATCATAATATATGATAATCAATTATTAGATGGCAAACACTATACATCCAGAAACTTGTATAAATTAAGTCAAAAGCAACTTGACTTGAGTATTAAAGATAGATGAAAAAGTTTTAACAAGTTAAAACAACGAATTCACTGCAAGGTGAGTCAAGACTTTCCAGCAAAATGTATACTCAAAACTTTACTTAGAAAGCAGCTGAGCCACATGTAAAGCTACTACTTGATATACACTTTTTGAATGCTACAAAAATGCTTTCCTGTGAATGCTTTTATCAGAGGAAGAAAAAAACCATGATAGTTTTAAATAGGCTTGTAACTGATAAAATCTATTTTTAGAAAATTTAAACTTTAAAAGTTTTAAAATGTTGCATATGATTTAAAATCAAAATCTGACAATTAGTTGTAGCTAACTTAAATTCAAGATTATTAAAGAATTGTAATCATACTTTTTTCCTTAAGGATTGTGTTTCTTATTTTAAAAAGGGTGACTTTTCTATCAGAATGAAACAGTGTAGTACAAAAAGATGATATATTTTAAGTGCATTACTTTATTTTAAAACGGTAATTATCTTATTCTGGGCAACAACAAAAACAAAAAAAAAACAAAAAATGCTTCTCAGTTATAATAAAACCACATTTATTGGAGTCGATCGTACCAATGTCTGGTCAAAAACTGTATACTTTCCCAATCCATCCCATGATGTTTTCCTGGTCCCCCGCTGCCGCAGACAGTTCAGCTGGTGTTGCTCACCAAGGCCAATGTCAAAGAGAATTTGGTATTCTTTTGTGTTCATTTATTATTCAACCAGTGTTGTGTTCCTGTGTTTGGGAAAAGGCTTAGCTTGACTGAGCAAGAGCATACCTAGAGCACGAATTCTTCTGCTTTAACATTATGTAGAAAAAGAAAAAAAAACAAGAAAGGAAAGTAAAAGAATTCCAAACACCTTTACCATGAAAATAAGTTTCTAGTATGTTCAGTGTTCGTGAAAATAATAGGAATTCCTTCTTAAAAATCAATCAGAAAAAAAACAAAGCTATGCCTTCAATAAGGAGAACTCCAACTAAGGTTGTATATCAAACACAGATAATTCAGAAATGAAGAAAAAAATAACAGGTTGGGTCAAATTGTAACATTATCTAAAATTTAAGATACATTTAAAACACCTATTTTCCCATCATAATAGTCTAATATTATTAGACTAACAACTCCAAATTAAATCTATTAAACACATTCTAAATACTAAAGCTATAAAATTCCCTACATTGGTAGCAATAAAAACAAAAAAGATGACATAAAATTGCAAAGTACACTAAAGTTAGTTAAATTTCACATATCCCCCCAAAAAGTACTGGGAAGGAACCATTGCTCAGTCAAGGTATTACCTTTTCCTCAACACCATTTTTTTTTTTTTTAAATTCAGAAGGGGATATTGTCTATATTTAGATCAGTAATAATAAAGAAAAACATGTACCTTTCTGTTGGGATAACCACTTTGACTATGGCTTGCGACAGAGTCTGTATATGAAGTCACATCAGATAATAAACATAGAATATGTGAGTATTGTTAACAAGTAACAAGCAAAAATATACATATGCATTGAAAACACTACACATCTAATCTAATCACAAGTTTTGCAGGCAATCACTGCATTTGAAGTAATTATACACTAGGCAATTACATAAAAGCAAATGGATGTGTTCAGTGAACAGTAAATGTTCACCAAATGCAAAGAATCAGAACATCCCTGCCAGAATGCACATCAATGCACTGAAATAGGTACTACACTGAGAATTATCAGATAAAGATTTTAATTTGTGAAATAATTAACCGTTTGTCTCTGACCATAATACAGTTTGCTACTTTGTTCCCAAGCCTTTAAAACTAGCCCTGTCATTTTAAGTGTAATTAATTCATAACAGAACCAACAAATTCTCATAACTTGAAATTAAGTTGGTTTTATGTTTAATAAAAAGAAAATACTCACCCTTTGCTTTTACTAGTAGTTAACTTTTTTAAAGAAAAACCATATATGCTCTCAAATATTCTAATACCTCAGATCTTGAGAAATAAATTAGCTAGCTGCCATCTAAACAGTTTAACTATTTAAGTCTTTCTAATTGAAGTCACTTAACCAAATATAAAGTATCATTTTCTCAGAACAAAGTAAATTTAGATACTGTACTTACACCTGGGTACAAAAGTGGACAAAGGGGGGGGGGGAAACTTAGTAAGTGGTCAAAAAAGAATGGTAGCCACAAATAAAAATATGCCCTAAGTATTTCAGACAGGGTCTCCTTGGGCTAAGGCAGGGAACACATCTACTTATTTAAGAGTTGCCAAACAGAATTACACACACATTTTCTACAAAATTGTTGAAAAGAAATACTACCACAGATTTAGTATTTACAAATAGATGCGGCCCTATGTACATTTTTTAAATTACCTTCTCAAAATCCTCCTTGTTTTTAGGCGGCGGTAACATGGGAGCATTGGGGTTTTTTAACCGCTCTCTAGGCTGCGCATTAAAAGGAAGTCCTGATGGAGGTGGGGGAAGCGTGTGTTCCATCATAGAAGGTGGGATGTATATTGGATGTGGAGGAATAGGCACAGCTTTACCCCAACCTAACTTCATTTCAAAAGACATAATCATCTTTCCTACAAGAAAGAAAAAAAAGGTCACCTTGGTAATAACTCTCAAAAGAAAATAAAAGATTTAGGTGATTGGAATTTTTGTTTTTAACCTTTCCATTTCTGGTTCATTTTTTTCTCTAAAGTTCTTATAAATACTTTTCAGAACCAAAATAAAATAAAAGTCTGAATTAATGGACAATAAAAACTTTCTTACCATTTAAATTTTTTAAAGCTCTTTCAGCATCTCTTCTATTCATAAAGGCCACAAAACCACAATTTCTCTCTCTTGCTCTTTCTTCATCAGTTCTTGGCCACATAATTTTCACACTGGCTAATGGTCCAAATCTTCCAAATTCTTGGCACAGCATCTCTTCATTCATCTATTAAAAGGCAGAAGGGTTTTTCGGTATGCAAAAAAGGAAAGGATAAAGAGAATTCTATGCAACAGAAAGCAAAGTAATTTTTGCAAAATGAACAGAGATATATTACTGCTACATTTTTCCATTCAAGTATTAGGCCCTCTACACAAATCAAATCCTGCCTTCCTGGGGCATTCGCGTATCTTCATACCAGAAACCTACTGTTTTATGTAAGTGAGTGACCAGGGTGAAGAGGCTGGTGGCTGGGGAAATCCAAGGCACACCTTTATCTCCCCTCTTCTTCCTTTGGAGGTCCTGTATCTACACAAAGCTGTTCTGCAGTGATTGTTAGGCACTGAGAAACACTTTTCAGGAAGCAAATATGGTTACCACATTTACGTTAAGGAGAAAATATTTGTTGGTGATCAAAGAAAAAAAAGGATCTGATCACTCTTTCTTTTTCCAGCTACCAGTGCAATCAAGAAGAGAGAAAACAGAAAAAGTAAGTATGCAATGAGGTCCAGTATGTAATTTTTTGAAAGTGTATTATGTATAACAACCACTACGTTCCCCGTAACGCAATTAACACTGATGCAGGGAAAAGAATTAAAATATAAAAGACAAAAAGCACAAATACTAGGTTTGCTATTATGAGAAAAAAAACAAAAAGAAATCCATAAGGAAGCAAGCTATGCTTCCTGGTCATATCCTGGTCATATCCTGATGTGGTAAACAGTAAGATCACAACCTAGTAAAACATTTCAAATTCAGAGTACATATAATCCAGTTACAGGAAGAGGAGATAAACCCTTAAGAATTACAGCAAGTGGGCCGGCCAAGTGGCGCGTTGGTTAAGAGCACGCTTGGGACGCCAGCTCTGAGCAGCAGGGCCCCGGTTCAGATCCCACATGAGGGCCAGTGATGCCGTGCCCGCTACAGCTAAGATCATGAACAGCTCGACCTGGAGCTGGGCTGCTGTGAGTTGCCGGCGACGGCAGGCGTAGGCTGCAGTGGGCTGCCGTAAGCTACCGTGAGTGGCTGGCAGCTGGCGTGAGCGGCTGGCAGCCAGCGTGAGCTGCCAAGAGCCGCCGTCCAGTGGCTGGCGACCGATCTGCCTCACCCGGGAAGAGCGCAATGACAATACCAACATGGGCCAGTGAAGCAACGTCCTCCACAACTAGACTGAACAACAAAAGGACAGCAACTTGTCTGTTCCCCTCCCCCAATTCAATCTTAAAAAAAAAAAAAAGAATTACAGCAAGATAATTCAGCCCATACTAGAGAGATAATTTTAGAGACTATTTAGTTCCATCAAATCTGTTTAACTTCAGATTCTTGACTTCATCTTTTTTACTGATTGACAAAGCAGTTTTCTTTCAAAAGTATGAAGCATACAAGCCAACATTCATCTTACTTTTCTAATATTACCTGTGGATTAATGTTGCCAAGGTATAAATTAGTAGTGCTTGGATCTCCTACGTCATGTGATCCAGGTGCATAATCATCAAGAACTAGGGCAAAGAAAAGAAAATTATAACCTGAAAAATATGAAGTCTGGACAATTTCTATTAATTAAAAAAGCAAAAAACTGTATTACCACCAGATGATCTGTTTCTTCTTGAAGGTGCATCCACTTTAAAAGGGGGAAAAGAAAATAATCCTTAGTTTTTAGAATAGTTAATCACAAATATAAACATTAAAATAAACATCACTTACTGGAACGACGCTGACCATCAGAATCTGACTGAGGAGGCTCAAATCGACTTAACCTGCCTTTTGTTTTATGTCTCTCATCACGCTCTTCTTGAATTCTGTTGAAAATATTCACAATCACTAATAATGAGCCAACATTTGTTCACATTTAATAAAAATAGAGCTTATCCAGGTATCACCTTCAAATAACTTGAAATATTTATAATTAAATGCCAGTACTGACAATGAAGATTAGAGATTCCCTCAGCTATAACAGAGTTATGAGAAAACTTCTGATACAGTATATAAGCAAAGAAATATAAAACTCACTTCTAAGGTGAGGAAGAAATTCAACATTAAAACCAAGAATTTCTTCTTTGTGGCTAAGTTTGACCATTCCTCACCCCTACCTCAGTAACTATACTGTTTCCACTGCAAACAGGACTCTGGACATTAATCAACTGAATTGCACCCACATAATGCAAACAACCTAGATGCTAGTTGAAATGCTAATTCATTTTCAAACATACCCTACAATATATTACTATATCGAAAACCACCTCATGGTAAGCCAGTTATGAGTAATTACTGGTACACCATATTCTTCATACCTGCATCTGTAAGTACCAGCTCAATACCCCTATGCTAGCCATTCTCAGCACTAGAAAACTTACTGTTTCAATTCTTCTTTGAAGAGTTCCAAATTGCTTTTTTTCTTTTCTTTCTCCCCTTTCTTCAGTGGCTATGAAGGATATGACAAGTTATACTTCAAACAAAAGGTTACACAAAACTAATGCTTCAATAATCATTTTAAATAATTTTTATTTTAGTGCCAACTCTGTTCTAATTATTTAAATTAAAAAGAATGAATGCTTCTGTTATCACTGAATTTCCCTTCCTGTTCTCTCAAACTAAGAATTTAACAATTATTAAAACAAACAACATGACAACCAGCAGTTGTCAAGTAAAGGTGCCACTAACTTTATCCCCCCAAAACCTGAGATACTTAGGCCTGAATATTGTGGGAGGGGAACAGGGGGCAAAATTAATGAACATAAAGTAATTGAACTAACATGTAAAGTAACTGCCAAGGGCCGGCCAAGTGGCGCGCTGGTTAAGAGCTGGCCTGGGACGCCAGAGGGCCCTGGTTCGGATCCCACATATGAGGGCCAGTGGCACTGCCCTCTACAGCAAAGATGCTGAACAACAGCTCGACCTGGAGCTGGGCTGCCATGAGTCACTGGAGATGGCAGGTGGGTTGCCATGGGCTACCGTGTGTAGCCAGCAGCCAGCGTGAGCGGCCAGCAGCCGCTGTGAGCAGCCGTCCAGAAGCCAGCGACTGATCTGCCTCGCTGGGGAAGAGCGCAATGATGGTGCCAACTTGGGCCAGTGAAGCAACGTCCTCCACAACTAGACTGAAGAACAAAAGGACAGCAACTTGTCTGTTCCCCTTCCCCCAATTCCCAGCGCTTTTCCCATACCCCAATTCCCCAATAAAAATCTTTAAAAAAAAAAATAAACTGCCAAGAACAGCTACCAAATATGTACTCTTCAAAACAATAACCTTAGGAGGACATGAATTACTGAAACAATAACATCTGTAAAATTCCTTTTAAAATTCCTTCCAAAACCACTTTTGGAATAACCTCTTTTAAAAGTACCAAAATATGGGCCGGCTGAGCGGCACGTTGCTTAAGAGTTGGCTTGGGACGCCAGTTCTGAGCAGCAGGACCCCAGTTCAGATCCCACATACAGGGCCAGTGACACTGCGCCCTCTACAGCTAAGATGGTGAACAACAGCTCGACCTGGAGCTAGGCTGCAGTGGGGTTGCAGTGGGCTGCCGTAAGCTACCGTGAGTGGCCGGCAGCCGGCGTGAGCTGCCAGGAGCTGCTGTGAGTGGCCGTCCAGTGGCCGGTGGCTGATCTGCCTCACCAGGGAAGAGCACAATGATCATACCAACATGGGCCAGTGAAGCGACGTCCTCCACAACTAGACTGAACAAAAAAAGGACAGCAACTTGTCTGTTCCCATTCCCCAATGCTGTTCCCCTCCCCCAATTCCCCAATAAAATCTTTTTTTTAATTTTTTTTATTAAAAGGTACCAAAATAATTCAATAGGGAAAGAATATCATCTTTTTAACAAATGGTTCTAGGACAACTGAATATCCACATGCAAAAAAGAATGAGGTTGGACCTCTACTTCACACCATATACAAAAATTAACTCAAATGGTTCTCAGACCTAAATGTAAGAGCCAAAACTATAAAACTCTTAGAGAAAAACATAGGAGTGAATCTTCATGACCTTGAATGAGCTTAGTCTCTTAGACATAACACAAAAAGCACAAGTGACAAAAGAAAAAAATTGATAAACTGAATTTCATCAAAATTAAACTTTTGTGCTTCAAAGGACACTATCAAAAAAGTGCAAAGATAACCTACAGAATGGGAGAAAACATCTGCAAATCATATAGCTGATAAAAAACTTAACTCCAGAAGGTGTAAAATATTCTTACAACTCAACAATAAAAAAGACAAATAAGCAAATTAAAAAATGAGCCAAGAACCTGACAAGAAATTTCCACAGAAGACAACAAATGAATAATAAACACATAAAAAAATGCCCCATGTCATCAGAGATGTACAAATCAAAGTCACAATTAGGTACAACTTCACACCCACTAAGATGACTAAAATAAATTTAAAAAACAGACAACTTTAATAGGTGTTGATGAAGATATGGAAAAATTGGAACCTTCACACATTGCTGGTGAGACTGTAATGTGTAACATGGTAGAACTACTTTGGAAACAGTTTGGCAGTTTCTCAAAAAAGTTAAATAGTTACCATATAACCCACCAATTCCATTCCTAGGTATACATAAAAGAATTGAAAACGTAGTTCTACTCAAAATCCGTCATACGCCAGTGTTTTATAGCAGCATTCTTCTATTACAACAGCCCAAAAGTGTAAACAACCCAAGTGTTCATCAAGTAATAAATGGATAAACAATATACGGTCTACCCATAACATGGAATATTATTCACCATTAAAAGGAATGAAGTACTGATGTACACCACAACTCAGATGAACCTAGAAACATTATGCTAAGTAAACAAGCCAGACCCTATGGCCACATGTTGTATGGTTCCATCTGCATGAAATATCTGGAATTGGCAAATCCAAAGAGACAGAAAGTCTATGGGTGGTTGCCAGGGATTGGCGATGACTAAAAATAGGTATATGATTTCCTTCTGAAATAATAAAAATGTTCTAAAATTAGCAATTAGTGACAGTTACACAACTGTAAATACACTAAAAAAAAAAAAAGAATTCACTCAATTCTAACTTTATAAGGATGAATTTTATGGTATATGAATTACATCTCAATAAAGCTGGGGTTTTTTAACTGCTTTCAGAGCTATTTTAAAAATCAGTCTCACTATTCAATGTGATTTCTTCACCAAATCTAATTATAAATGATATAACCCACATCTACCACCTTCCCGCATTAAAAACCTCACCCTCAAAAAAATAAAAAGTTCTCTAACATTAAGAATATTTAAGAAAGTGATGCTAGTTCTGACAGTAATTCTAAATAAATTCTAAAAATGTCCTAAGTAAGAGACACACTGTTGGAGTATGTAGCCTTCCAAAGTTAACTGACACTACACATGCTGATATAATTTAAGTACCACAGTTCAGAATTCTTTCAAAAAACAATCCCACTGGGCCGGCCGAGTGGCGCGATGGTTAAGAACTGGCTTGGGACACCAGAGGGCCCCGGTTCGGATCCCACATATGAGGGCCAGTGACACTGCCCTCTACAGCTAAGATGCTGAACAACAGCTCAACCTGGAGCTGGGCAGCCGTGAGTCGCTGGCGACGGCGGAGGCTGCAGCCCCTGTGGCAGTGGGTTGCCATGGGCTACCGTGTGTAGCCAGCAGCCAGCGTGAGCGGTCAGCAGCCGCAGTGAGCGGCCGTCCAGAAGCCGGCGACTGAGCTGCCTCGCCCGGGAAGAGCGCAATGATGGTGCCAACTTGCGCCAGTGAAGCAATGTCCTCCACAACTAGACTGAAGAACAAAAACGACAGCAACTTGTCTGTTCCCCTTCCCCCAATTCCCCAGCACTGTTCCCATCCCCCCAATTCCCCAATAAAAATCTAAAAAAAAAAAAACACAATCCCACTATTTTACATTTACACCTCAAATATAGTCAAATTTTTACTTGCAATATGCTTTGAGTATAGTAATAGCAAACGTCCACGGCTCAAAGAGCATAAAACTACTACCTACGTGTCCTACTCTTCTAGGCAGGTTAAGCATCAAACCTCAACACCTACTCCCAGAGTAAATAAAAACAAGAAGCCAAAGTCCTGCTTACAGTGGAAGTACTGAAAGCACCAATGGCATGTCATCTCCTGACATAAACGGTCACATACTATAGTCTGACTTACAGGTTTTTTGGTTTCTATCACAAGAAGAGACGGCGGTCTTTCATTGGATGACTGACTTGGAGGAGCTTTTTGATCTGCAAATCTTGAAGACGGCTTATAGATTTTGCCTCTTTTTTCATCTGTTTCATGTTCTTCTGAAAATTAAAATACTAAGTTTCAATGCTAACTTCACATTATTTGGATTTTATTTACTTGCTCTTTTATTTAAAAATAAACAAAAATAAAATGCTTTTACTACTAAGATATATCACTACTGACGAAATATGAAGTTAAATTCAAATATTGGTGCCCTACTCCCAAAAATACCAATTTAATGACTTTATGGTAAAACTATGAAATATATTAAAATTTTTGCAAAGTTCTCTGCTGTCTTAAAACTTGGAAGGCAGTAAATATTTTTAAAACATATCTGGCTCCAATTTCTCATTAATCCACCTTTGGCCATTTATTTTGCTAATTAACGTCACCACTAGAGGCTGCTGACAGAAAGGAAAAGCAACCAAATGTCTTTAATAAGTATCCGCAGTCATTCAACCAAAACTTTTTGGATTTACTCAGGACTATAATGTTCACACTTACCTTTAGCTGCATTAACGACACCTCCACGCACAAATGTTTTTACTTTATTACCATCACTTCCTTCAAAAGCAGCAAGAAATTCCTCATAAATCTCAGCAGCGGCCTTTTCATCCTCCTAAATACACATGAATATATTAATAGCACTTAATATAAAATTATTATTGTATATAGGGTGAAAGTCATCAAGAAATAATGTAAATAAAACCTTTTCCTTCACTGGGGAAAGCATGTTATGCAGTCTTAACAGGTACTGTCTAATCCTTAGTAGATATTAAGACATTAACACTGAAACTAAGAGAGACTTTGCTCTTCTACTGGCAATCTGTGGAACCAGAAAAGGACTAAATAATTTTGTTTAGAGATAATTCAAGGATCAAATTATATGACAACTGACTATATAAAATATACTATTCTATTAATGTTTATGATGTTTCCAAGGCACGATGATTTAATTCAGTGAATACAAAGATTTCCTTTACAAACCACAGAAGACATGCATATTAAAAACTGGTATATCCAGAGAGTTGATATTAAAAAAAAAAAAAGCTCAAAACCTTGACAATGTCCATTATAACTATTCCAAATGTCCCCAAAAGTATGACTATAAAGGCCAACGAAGCAGAATAGAAAATACAGAAATAAATCAAATAGCATTTGGAAATTTAGTATTCAATAAAAGAGGCGTCTCAAATCAGTGAAGAATAGATGGACCTGAATGGTGTTGGGGTAACTTGATAGCTGTTTGAAAAGATAAAAATGAACCAGTCATTCACATTATATACAAGTAGAACTTGCAAATTAATCAGATTTTCTTTTTAAATGAAACCCTATAAGTATTAGAAAAAAATCTGGAAATTCCTTCATAAGCTGGGAGTGTGAAAAACTTGACTAAAAACCCAGAAACCATAAGGACGGACTGATAAATCTGATTACGTAATAATAGTTTCTGCATGGAAAAAACACCAGAAGCAAAATAAAAAGGCAATCAACAAACTGGGACAAAACATTGCACCTTGTACTACAAAGTATTAATCTACTTAATATACAGTTTCTAAAAATAGAGATAACCTATTATTAACTTACAGAAAGATTGGTTTAGTTATGAGTAGACAGTTCACAGAAACAAACACAAGAAAAGCTGTTCAACCTCTTGTAAGAGAAATGTCAATTTAAAACTACACTGAAATACTATTTTGAACCTAGCAGACTGGCCGAACTCCACTGATAACATCCTGTCAGCAAGGCTCTGGGGAAACCATCCTTCATTGCTGATATGAATGCAAAATAGTCCTGCCCTTAGAGATCAATCTGACAATAACTAGCAGAGCTACATTTATGTATTTACCAGTCAGCCCAGTAACCCAACTTAGAGAAATATATCCCAAAGGTACACTAGCAAAAATATCATATGCATAACACTATCCACAAAATGGCAAAAGAATGCCCTCAACAGGAATTCAGTTGAATAAACTATTGCTTATCTACACAGCAATTGAAAAAGAACAAGGAGTATTTCAATATACTTGCAGTAATCTGAGATACAACATTATGGAAAAAGCAAGATGGAGAAAAGTGTACTGTATACAGCGTGCTACTGTTCATCGTAGAAAAAAGAGTGAGTACAATATATATGTCCACACACTTGCTTATAAAAAAACAGAACAAATGATAAAATAACCCAAACTGTTACACATTAGAGAGAAAACAGTAAAGGGATAGGGATAGAAGCTGGACTGCTCTGAAGATATGTTGTGTTAAGAGATTTGACTTGGGGTTGGCAGCTGAGGATACCCTGGAAGTCAAAAACCTCTGAAAAATATCACTCTACTGGCCATACACTTACTGCCCCCTGAAATACATTTATTTCCAAGGATAATTCAAAATACATTTTAAACATTACCTTTTTCTTCAATTCTTCTTGCTCCTTCTTACTTAAAGTTCGCTTAGCTGTACTCATTTTTCCAATACTGAATGCTTTAAGTTTGTTTTCTAAAAGAGGCTGTGAAAAGAAATAAAAAGGTATACCTTTACATACACATTCTTAATGCTATCTATCACTTCAGTGATACGTCTCAACTGATAACCAAATCTTCAGAATTAGATGACTTTTAAAAAATAATTCATTGTACAGAAAAGCTGATGGTACTCTACGTGTCAGGTGCCTGCCTACCTTAAGCTTAATTCTGAAGTAAATAGTCATTAAAAAATATCGTTTGCTAGCTGAAGGTCAGCAACATACAAAAGCCATTTTAAAAAAAGGTAAAAGCAAAACAGAGAGACATGCCAAGGCTTAGAACTCGTTCCACCTGCTTGTTGGCAGCAATAAAAGCACTTGAGAGGGAAAGCACAGATGTTTCTGGGCAAAACAAGCAAAACAAGCAATACAGAAAACAGACATTCAAATAGGGAGAAGGAAGCATACATTTCCATGGCTCAATAGCAGAAATCTAAATACCATTTTTAACCCCCATTCCAAGTACTACAAATAGTATCGCTTCCTTGGACCGGCCGAGTGGTGCACTGGTTAAGAGTTGGCTTGGGACGCCAGCGCTGAGCAGCAGAGTCCCGGTTCAGATCCCACATGAGGGCCAGTGACACTGCCCTCTACAGCTAAGATGGTGAACAACAGCTCGACTTGGAGCTGGGCTACCGCGAGTCACCGGCGACAGAGTAGGCTGCAGTGAGTTTGGCCAGCAGCTGCCGTGCACTTTTGTGAGCTGCCGTGAGCAGCCGTCCAATGGCCAGTGAGCGACTGCCTCAGCCGGGAACAGCACAATGATAGTACCAACATGGGCCAGTGAAGCGATGTCCTCCACAACTGGACTGAACAACAAAAGGACAGCAACTTGTCTGTTCCCCTTCCCCGATGCCCCAATAAAATCTTAAAAAAAAGAAAAAAATAGTATCACTTCCTTTTATAATTCTTAAATCACCACATGCTTCATCAACAATACTGATGTTTCTGAACATAACAATTTCATTTTGTTCACTTCAGAATACATCACATGCAGTATTTTAGGTTTCCACACAAATAAACATTCACCGATGAATTTTGAATATGAGAAAATGGTATTTTAATGAAGTCTTCATTTATGTAACTTAAAAGCAAGTTCCTTCTGAAATGTGGCTTGAATAAACTGCAGACCTTTAGTTGTTCAATCAGTTATTTATTTGCATATTAGATTTTGATTCATAAACTTGAGATAAATGTTTACTAAATACAACCTAAATATTAATCTGTAATTGAAATCTGAAGGTTTCTCTAGCACCAACCAAAATGAGAAGCTAAAGAATTGCACAATTAAACTTTACCAATTCCCAGTTACTAAAAGGGCTTGTCCTTGAGATATGCAGAATGAAAGAGTAATACCGCTGCAAACGATCTTTAAGTTACATTAAAATCCCTTTGAAAAAAGTAAAGCAGTTTATAATCCAAACGTCAATACTGGGTTTCAGGAACAGATTCAAAGTAAATATTTTCCCCCCCAAAATAGAAAGAAAAATGTTTTGTCATCATTCAGCATCATTGAGTTCAACTTCAAATATTTAAACAAACTGTAAAATGACATATAAATTCAATGAAAAATAATTTTACAAAACAAAATGTTTGAGCTCAAATTTTATTTAAAACCTAAGAGCTAAGTCCAACAGGAAATAGTTAAGGAAATTAAAGAATGTTTACTAAAAGAAATACAATCATCCGTTAAAAAGTTTATTTACAGAACTTTTGCTAAAATTTAAAGTTAGAACTGAAAACAGAATATTTAAAAATGTGTTCCTATAAAATGAATCTCAGCAAAGTAAAAATATATTTATGCTGAGAAATATTAAACAAGAAAATAAGAGGGTGACCAGTTAGCTCAGGTGGTTAGAGCGTGGTGCTGGTAACATCGAGGTTGCCAGTTTGATCCTCACATGGGCCACTGTGAGCTGCACCCACTAAAAAGTCAATTATGCCACTGCAGCATGAAAGCAATGTGTAACTGACAACCATGGCTGTTCCCCAATAAAAAATTAAAAGAAAAAACAAAACAAAACAAAAACAAGAAAAACAAAGAAAGTGTTATCAGTGTTAGCACTGGCTGGTGATAACTATCTTAATTATATTTTCCAAATTTAATCACATGAAAACATGATTTAAAATACAAAAAAGACTAGAAGAACATGAAAGCACTTTGCAGATACACCCAGTAAAACAGCCCCTTCTCTGAGTTCTCCTACGTATCGCCCTGGAAATGCACTAACCAGAGTGAACAGCACCCACTCTGTTTGCCTTCCAGGGCAATACTATAAGCTCTCTGAAAGCAAGAGCTATATTAATCATCTGTGTATTTCCAGTGACTGGCATTTGGCACTTGGTTCAGTAAATGTTTGTGTGTGTGTGTGTGGGGGGGGGGTAATAAATATGACCATTAGCCATTTAACATCCAAAACGTTCCTTGTTTTTTTTTTAATTTAAAAATTTGAATAAAGACATAGCTCATATATGAGCTAAAAAAAACCATTTCCTTAGATGAACTTGAGTTTATCATTAATCTGAATACAATGAAGAATGTTATTTTCAAATAGTACAAGAGTAAACAACAAATACAAAACCAAAATATCCAACCACCAAAGGACAGATTAAAACCATTAACAATACTTTCTTATCTTTATCAATACTTACTCTTGAAATACTCTGATGAGGAGAGTCACAAAGGCTTTCTCGGGCACTTTCATTCCTATAATTATGTTTCCTTGGGCTTTTAGGTCGTGTCCGACTTGGCATATCACTATCTGAGAGTCCAGATGCATCCATCTTCAGAAAAATTAAAACATGTTTTTAAAAAAATCACATATGTAATATTGAAAACTAGAAAATAACCCAAATGTGCAAATACTGACAAATTTAATTATGCACTATCAAAACTCTCATCTCTTAATATGACCACCAATTTCATTAGAAAAGTTCTTAAGTACAGGGAAAGTTTTCAGTAATTCTAACTTGCACTTGAAAGCTCGAATTTTACATAGGTAACAAACAGTTGTTTTCCTTGAAGTAACAGGTTCATTTCCTTCATTTTCAAGAAATTATCTGCCAAACACCCAAGTCTGATTAACCATAGTTTATCTGTCACTTGCTTGTTCAAACAAAAATGGTATTCCATGAAGCAAAGAAGCCAGTTTCATTTCTCGATTTAAACAATCCCACAAGTACTTTTCCTCAAGACAATCATCACATTTTGGTAAGCAGAAATGCCTTATATGTACTTCCCAGTTCATCACGCTCAACATTAAAAAGACCCGAACAAAACAACAAAATCAAATATTGACAAGTTTTACTGCTTCATCAGGAACATTCTTCAGTGAAACCAGCATATTTTTCCTGTGGGCAGGGGGAAAACTACAATGACTAGTACACTGTGGCAACACGCCCGGGATTTGTGCTAAGGTGCCAACAGTTCACCCAACGATTGCTTTTTCACCATCAGTGACAATGTCAACACAGCAAAAAAGGCAAATGTCTCAGTGTTATTACAAAACAGTCTGGAACTTACAGACCCCCTGAAAGAAAGTGACCCACAGGGGTCTGAAGACCACTTTGAGAACTGCTATAAATAGCATATGTAAAGGAATGTTTACTGCGGTACATCCAAAATGTCAAAAAGTTTTCAACAGATAATATATGCCCATCAACAGAGAAATAGCTCACTAAATAACTTTACCTCCCACAGGTAACATTATGAAAGGCTATATTAGAGTTCTGCCTGTTGACGCACAGGAATTTCCAATAGGTGTACTGTGCAATGAGAAAAAAATGTGTATAATGAATACCACAGTCAATGTGTAAGTACACATTTATGTACGTATGGGATTTCATAAGCACGATAAACAAAATAAGGAAATATACACACTAGGTTTCTAACATGGTTGAGGGGCCCAATTCATGCAAATAGAACACAAAAAAAGGAGAGCACCTAATAAAAAAGGTGGAAAAAAAGGCACATACAATCTAATTGTATTTATTTATCAAGTAAAATCTTAAATGCAGAAATATAAACATAGAGAAATTCAATTTTAAAGAAAAAGACAAAGACTGCCTTTTATACTCACATGTGCATCTGAAGATCCAGATGAATGAACATCTGATGATCTGGTCTGCAAGTGTTAAAAATAAAAGTCAGTATTTAAACAATCAGAAAGTGTCTTGCTCTGCTAACAAAACAAGTGTTTCTCATACAGACTTGATCTTTCCAAACTTGTAGCAATTTCTTCTCAGCTAACAAAACCAAACAAGGGCAATCTCTGACTCATAAAAATGTTGTGATCCCAAATAAATGTGCAAGTCAATTCTTTAAAATTCAGAACCCGCATTTCCCAAAATGTGATACAAAGAAATGATAGTAGGGTATATCTGAGGCACAGTTACCTTTTATACTGCAGAGTAGAATCCTAACCTCTATTTATACAACAGAATTTTTGTGCAAAAGTTCTTCCCAAGTCATAAGATACACTGTTTACTGCATTCAACACTGCCTGTCATAGCAGCAAGTTCTCACTACATAGCAAAGAAACCTCCCCTCCTTTCTCCAATCCAAGCACTCAGTCATAGAAGTAGATTCTAATGCCAAGAAAATCCACATATAACTCTTGACGTCTACCAAAACGTACAAATTCTACTGCCGAAATAGTTCAAGAAAAACAAAATCCTATTATCAAGTCCCCGTTTGCAGTTTGTTTTAAGGGGACTGCTTCGGCCTTGGCATGCCACTATTGCTGACTATTGCACAAGGAAGAGTTCAGTCTTCAAACAATGGCACTTTCCAACAATGTCAACTCTTAAAACGTCATCTTATTTTTTAATTGATCTACATTTCAAATTACATATAGCATACAATAATTTGCTGGTTGTTCACAACGCATCTAAGGACAAAGATGCCAAGCTGCAAGGCTATTTAAATCATAGGATTCACATGGATCCACACTGTATTGCTTTATTCATCTTTACTCATCTAAACATAAGGCTGAGAATAGCTGGTCAGGTTCTACTGAATCAATTTATTCCTCTGAACTCCACTGCACTGGGCCCTAGGCAAAATCAGCCCAGAACAACCAAGCACTGAGATACCACCCCCCTCCATTCTTCCTACCCATCATTTTTTGGTCCCCAACTTTCATTGTGTCCCTCCTCCTTCACATTCTTCTCTCAGCTAACCTTTCTTAAAAGGCAAGATAGTATGGAAGAAGAAATGTTTTGATATTTAAATTAACTCTTTGAAACACACTTTGAAATGTGCCTCTTTGCAAACACTTAGAAATTAGAAAATCCAAGAGAATAACTCCTTAGAAAAAAGTTCAGTAAAAGACTGGCCTAAAAAATAATAAATCAACTGCCTGATAGGTAACAAAAATATCCTAATCATAATAGTAATAAAAAAATATAAAACACGTAGAAACCAACTAAAGAAATGTACACAACCTGTGTGAAGAAAACACATACTTTACAGAAAGATTCAGTTTCGAGTCATCTTTTGAAAAGACTCATCATACTTCTGGACGGGAAAAGTCATTATTAAGACATTGTCAACTATAACCAAATTTATTTACACATCTAATACAATTTCATTCAATAGCTCCAAATTCCAAACGGAAATCTTTGCAAAGGGGCCAAGAGGATTGCCAAGAATAATTCTAAAGTTCACCAGAAGCAGTATGCAGGAGTAGCTAAGAATGTGCTACCCTTTCTTAACTCATCTATGCCACCACATCCAAACCATCACTTCTAGCATTTAAAAATAACAGCATGGCTTAGGAAGATCCATCAGCTGATTTCAATTAACCTAAGATGGCACTGGTCAGAGTTACTGCAAATCAGGCATTTTGCAAAGATACACAGTTATAGCTAGCTACACAGCATTCAAAATGGGAGTTTTTTAGGCTTAAGGACAGTTAGTGATTCAAACAATAGTTCATAAGATTTTAAAAGAACAACCAACTTCTAAAGCTAGCGATCCGGCAACAGTAACTTCACAAGCTGAGCCTCCCCCCTCTTCCTAACCTGGAAATGAACTGTATTATTTGTCTTGGGCTTGGGTTTTCATTTTCTTTAAAATTTAAAAACCACAAATTAATGATGTTTAAAGATCTTCTGAAGTCTGCAGCACAATTCCTCATCCAAATGAAAAGACCCAAAAGCAAGAAAAGAAAGGGCAGAATCAGGGAGGTTTGAGATAATAAAGAAGCACACAGAGAAATGTCTATCAGGGAGAGAACAGGCAGTACAGATGTGGAGAAGGAAGGACAGTAAGAAAATCCAAAAGGAAAAAGGACCATTCGGATGGCTGCTGAGGAGATAAAAGTGTAGCCAATGACACTTATGCCATATGACCCTCTATCCTGGTGGCTGAGAAGAAAAACATTTTTTTCCCTGGCTGCTCCTACTTGACTTCACGTGAAAGGCCTCCACACCTGAGTTTTCAAACGAGCAAGCTACCAGTGCCCTTCCTCCAAAGCTGCCATTCTGCCTAGTCAGCTCTCCTTTCCCACTTCTGTCTCCCATGTCTTTCTCCTCTCATCCTCTAAAGCATCGACTTATATCTCCACACATTTAACCATCTCTCACACAGAAAGCAAACCTACACCTTTTTGCACTACAATGACTCCAGAATCCTTGACCTGCAAACCTGGTCCCTCTCTGAGGTTCCAATCTGTTCCCAAACTACCTCCTGGACACCTTCACCCGAATGTCTGCAAGCTACTCAAATGCGAAATGTCTAAAATTCTTCACAAAGCAGCCTGTCCTCTTGACCACATTTCCGACACTGGGTCCTAACTCTCAATCTCTCACTTTCTGAAAGTAGTAAAATGTTAAGAGCACAGATTCTGGAATCAAGCGTTAGCATTTGGCAGGTCTGTAACCTTGGGCCTAGTTCCTTTATTTGTAAAGCTGAACAGCAAGTGCCTCAGGAACGTGGTGAAGGACAATACAGAGGACACACTCAGAACAGTGTACATAGTAATTACTCAGTAAGTGTGAGCCAGCAGCGGCATTACAACAGGCTCATCCTCGGACTCTGTCCTTAGGCCTGTAATCAACTGAGTCAAACTGTTATCTTACCTTTAACACAGCTCTTCTACCGGGACCCCTTTTCCTTTCCAAAGACATCACTGTGGTTCAGATCTTCCCTTTATTTAACCATTTACTGGGCACCCATTGGCTGGTACTATGTTTTACATTAAGAGATATAAAGGAAACTAAGACATAGCTCCTGTCATTAGGAGCTAATAAAAGAGACAGGTAAAAATGTGACTGCGCCACAAGAGCACAGAGGAGAAGGTATTAAGAAAAGCTTCCCAGAAAGGATCTGAGGTGAGATTTTTGAAGCAACACTCAGTATCAATCAGAAGCACTGCAATAATCTTCAAACTGGTCCTCCTCACTTCCAAACCCTTCCTAAACTATGTTCCCAGAATAGCTTTCCTGAAGGACTTCCCTGCCTCAAATTTTCCAAGGCTCTCTAATTTTATTTATTCTGTAGCATTCAAACCCCTCCACAGGTTAGCTAAAACTTACCTTTCCATCTCAGCTTCTTTTATGTATATGCAAGTACCCTATGCACTGGCTAAACTAGACTACTTATCAATTCATCTCCCAGCAATTTCCTCTTCTTCACCTCACCTGTCTCTTTTTTATACTCCCTATCTGTATCCTTCAAAGCTCTGCTCATAGTTTAAAAGGACTCAATCAAATTCCTCTATGCTCTTGAAGCTTCCCCCTTCCTCACCCTCCACTCAACCAGCTGCCAGTTCTTTCCCTAAACGTTCAGATACTTCAGATAGCTCTGCCTTGTACTCTTATTATGTGTTCTCTGTTTTGCCACTAGACAGCATGCACCCCAAAAAGGGTGCGGTCTTATTTAACGATTTCTTCCTCAAAATCAAGCACAAGATCTGGCAAGCAACAGATCCTCAATATACTTGTTGACTTAACCTGTTGGAATAAGTTCCTACACGATAAAATTACACTCCACACTCAAAATACCATGCTGTCCACTCACTAACATGTTGCAGCTAGCCAGCTTAATACTACTCTCCAAGACAAACCAAGGTCCACCTCTGAAAAAAATCTTTATATGATCACTGAGACAGACACTATATATAATAAAGTTAAATAACAAACCTGAAAGGATCTTTAAAATCACACCCAAAACACTACCAATACATGAAAAGTTGTAACTACATTTTGAACGTCCTGTAGTTTATCTAAACTGAGGAAGGACCTAACGAAAAAACTTTCAACTCCTCAAAGACATCAAACAGTACCAAAAATCACTGATCAAGAAAACAGAAGTTCATAATTCCATTCTCCACACAAAAACACAACCTTCCACACATAAAACTAACCACTTTATATTTTCAGATAAGGTTACAACCATATCAGAATGAAGATTCAGTTTAAACTAAAACTGGAAAACTATGAAGAGCTTAATTTTCAAGGTTTGTGTTTTCTTTGGAGTTTTTCATCATACTTAAATCTTACATATCTTCAGGTACCACAAAAAATATGTACATAGGCAGCGAGATGTATATATATATATATATATATA